GAGTCTTCTTATCAATTTTTGAGTTTAGGTAGAATTCAAACCTTCTAAGGTCTCTCCTAGCTCATTCCTTAGATATTATCCTACCTAAATTGAACATCAATAGATCTACCTAAATCTAGACTTTTAGTGGTTGCCAAAATACCCTTTAGTCTTCCTAAATGTTAAGATTTATCTAGCCAAAATGGATAATCTTACACCAAATATCTTCAAGGCTTAAGTAGTAGCCAAAACACTCTTAGCCTTAGCTCTTTTGAGTTTTATCTTACCAAAATAAGGTAAACTCTACCCCTAAGCGGTTACCAAAATACCTCTTAGAGCTTGCCAATAGGTGTCAAATGCCTTTTGACTTTTAGAAAACAACAAATGTTCCTAACCCTTCTCAAGTGATAGTGAAAATATCCTTGAGAACCCTTTAGGTGGCAGCCAAGATACCCCTAACTTTTAGGAGATAGCAAGATATCTCTAAGACCCTCTTAGAGACTCCAAACGTCTCTAATCTCTTTTCAAGTGATAGCCAAAGTATCCTTGAAAATCTTGTAGGTGGTAGCTAAAATACCCCTAACCTTTAGGTGATAGTAAGATATCCCTAAGCTCCTCTTGAAGTTATCAAATTTCTTCTAGTCAAATCAAATTCTTTTTAAAGATACCAAATATCTTTAAAAATCTCTTTTAGAAGTTGTCAAAATACTTCTAATTGATCCAAAATCTTTCTAGAGATACCCTATATCTCTAGAAGTCTCTTTAGAAGTTGCCAAAAGGCTTCTATTCAAACCAAATCCTTTTAGAGATATCAAATATCTCTAGAATTCACCTTAGGAGTTGTCAAAATACTTCTATTCCAATCAAATTCTCTCTAAAGATATCAAATGTCTTTAGAAACCTCTTTAGTAGTTGTCAAAATACTTCTAAATCCTCTTCCAAGAGTGATCTAAAACTCTTCCCTTAAGGTGATATATAGAAATCTCCTTATCTTTGTAGATCTTACCTAAATCCAAGTTTAGGCTTTCATAGATCTCTCTTCCTCTTTCAAATCATACCCTATTTGATTTGGAAGATCTTGTTTAATCATTATTTGGTCAACGCCAATATGTGTGGCGTACTTCTATTCATTCACCACACATATTGGAGGTCCTTTTATTGACGAATATTTTCGCATTGACTCGGCCACAATCGAGCCCGACTAGGCTCGATCGCACTCGATCAACTCAATCGATCATCGTCGAGGCAAAATTGATCCAAATTGAGCCTCAATTTAATTAAATTAAACCCAATTTAATTTAATTAAAATCAAATCAATTTAAATCGAACCAGTCGAGCGTCGTCGAACCCAATTCGACGTGATTCGACACCGATTCGAGTTCAATTTCATGAAATTAAATTGATTCAACACAATCGGACCCAAACCGACCCCAATTGGTTCGGGTCGAGTCCAATTCGGACTCAATTTCAGCCCTAATTTCTGAATTTGATTCTCAAATCAGAAATTGAGATCAATGGCTCAAATTTCATCCCGATTCCTACCATAAACCCTGGTTTCACGCGTGAGAGGCCTGGGTTGGTCCATTTTGCTGCTTTAGGGCACGCAAAGGAGAAAGGGGGAGCATTCGGCTCCCCCGTGCGTGCTCTTCTCGTCCCGAGAGAGAGAAAGAGAGGGAGGGCACGAGAGAGAGCCTTTCGGCTCTTTGTTTCTGCGTCCGTCCCAGCCAAATCCGAAGAGAGGGGGGAGAAGAGGAAGGCAGAGCAGAGGTCCTCCTGCGTGCAGCCCTACCTAGCCGCCGATCTCATCTAGAGACCCAAACGAGTCCAGCCGAAGGGAAGAAGAAGGCCAGCCGAACCTGTATGCACATCCTTGCTACTGTTTTCCTTCTTCCTTGGACCAAAAGAGGGAAGTTTCTCTCTATTTTCCACCATTTCTTCAAGTGGAAGGGCAAAGACCTGCTCTTTTCTTTCCTTTAAGCAAAAAGGGGAGTGTTGGAGGATAGTAGAGAGACTTGGATGCTGTCTACTTGCTGTGAGGGTTTCTCCTTCCAAATCAACTCCGGCGACTTTAAAACAACAAAAACTGCTGTTTCGAATGTCTGGACAGCAAGTGACTGCCTCCGGGAGCACTCAAACAGCGAAAATTGCTGTCCGGAGCAGTTTGGACAGCAAATTCATCCTTCGAAGCGCCTTGGACAGCAGGTTGGAGGCTGTCGGAAGCTTCCAAACAGTGCTTGGGAGGCTTGGGAGGCTTGGGAGCACCTTGGATAGCAAAGGAGGCATCCGGAGCACCTTGGACAACGGCGGTGATGTCCGGAGAAGCTTGGACAGCAGTCTTCCTCCTTGGGAAAGTCTTGGACAGCAGCTTGGAGCGACTTTGGAGCTTGAATCGGAACTTGGACAGTGCTTGGAGCTTGGATAGGAGCGTTAGAACAATCCGGGAGAGGTATAACACTAAAACTTAGGCAAAACCTTAAGGGTCCCTAGCCAATGGCATGTGATTGACGATCCAAAGCCTTAGGTCCCTAGAAACTTTGATTTTTTTGTCTCTTAAAATCCCTTTGTTGGCTGTCCACTTCGCAAAAACAGTGGAAATTCGGTGATTTCCATTTGTTGGCTCTCATGTTAGGGTCCGGAAAGGATTTCAATGCGTGTAGAGGTGTCGGTTTGTTATCCAACACCTCTCAAATGTATGTTTGTGCATCATATTGTGCCTAATACCTTCGCCTATGATCAAATCTTAGGCTAATGGTTGGACAAGCTGTGGCTTATCAATTAAGATGGGTCTTTCTGGGGTGCTTTATCAAGATGAGAGCTCTAAACCCATTTCAAGACCTTATGGTTTACTCGTTTTCCCCATCAACTATGAAGGTGGGAATAATAGACAGCTTGACTCTATAATTTGCCCCACCTTTTACAAGTACAAAACATGTTTTTACTACAAATAAGGACTTTTCAAAACTACATAACAGATCTAGTGGAATAACAACACAAACTACCTCATCAATGAAATCTCTTAAGAAAACTAACATAAGAGTAAATTATCTAGTGATTCAACAAATATCAATATTCTAAAACTAAGTCAGAGAAAAGATTTTGGATGCTCGGCAGTGATTAGCCCCATATTTTAATTAAAATTTTAGAAATCAATTTTTCTCACTACTTGGATCTAAAATAAAATTTATAATAATAGACTTCACCTAAAGCAGGTGGTGGAAAGTTCCTCCTTATCCTCTTTATTTTCATGTACATGTAATAGCAGAGCCAATAAAGGGTATGTCGTCTATTGATCCAACTTCAATTACTTCTTCGTAGGTGGTGAAAATAGTCTTCTTCAACCTATCTTCCAATGTCTTCCAGCATTGGCTTCTTTTCTGGATACAATTACTGGCAATCTTTGAGCTTGTTCCCTAACTTTTAGTAATAATGCTACAATAATCTAGTGTCCTGCATATGTTTAAGTGCTCCTATTATTTTCTCCTTTGTAATTACAAATTACAATTTTCTTGCACCAGAAAGAGACTTGTTTTTTTTCGTCCAATGCTATTGCTTTTGTGTTGGCTTTTAAAGATCTACTTTTGATGTACACAAACTCTTATAAAGTCCTACGACATGACTCATGAAGATTGATTTCTCACTCAACTAAATCTTTGAAGTAGTTTCATATCTTTTGAACTCCATTTTAAGATTTTACACACTTTGCATGTTCTCCTATTTCAAATTTTGCAATCAAATCCACTTTTCTTCTTCATACTTGTTGGCCTCAATACTAGCTCCAATGTCGAGCCGATCGTGCATGACGCAAAAGACGACCGAAGGGGCGCGATATCGCACAAAAGCCACTTGAAGCCGGTTGACCAAAAATAAAAATCACTGAAACGGCCTTTGTTCTCAAAACAAATAGTGTCAGCGCATATGAAGCAACTAAAAGAGCTAGGAGCAACGCCCATATTTGTCAAGAATGTCAATCAACCAAAATCAAAATTTTGTGTGTGCGGATCGAGGTCGAGTTGAACCGACGACAATTTAGCGAGCAAATAGAGGTAAGATTAATCTAAATAAATATATATTATTTTAAAAAGATAAAATTATGTCAATTTTGCTCATTCTAAATAAAATCCGGTTGAAACTCTCCCCGTCCATAAAAAGGTGTGGAGAAGCCAGGGGAGCTTACAAATTTCTGGTGACTCCATCGGGAAATATTTTTCTTTCCATATTTGCTAGTCATATATATGTTATAATAGTAGCAAAAGCCTAGCTACGAATGTGACACTTTCACCATGTGTCCAAGAATCCACCATCGAAAGGTCCAGATAGAGAACAAAGCAAATAACCACATAAAAATCTACAGAAAGAAAAACAAAAAAAAAATTTAAAAAAAATTGAGAAAAAGAAAGGCGTGACATCTGGTGTGTACCCAAAGATACACCACTAAAATAATTCATAAAAAGAGTGGACTATAATATATTGTAATAGTATCAAAGGTACCTTATAACATGAAATACAAACCTATAGGTAATGATTTATGGATATTTTCATAGCCAAAATTATGTTGGACAAATATCAAAAAAATAATTTGCCGGAGTTGAAATTTTGCGAGTCTGAAAAAATTAAGAATACCCTGAAACATTAAAACATTAGTCAAGTTTTGTATACAGGTGGCTTCTTATGTAGCTACAACTATTATGTTGGCGGGAAATTTCTACTGTGATTTTATGTACTGAAACATGATTTCTTTTTTTTGTTGAGCCTTTCCGAGACTGCAAACAAAGATGGATCTTACAGTTATTTTGGCTTTTACAAGGATCCTTTGTTGAACTCTATGTGATTCCTTAGATTCCTCATTTTCGATGGTTGCATCCTAGAGTATTATAATATTCTTATCTGGAGATTATTAATAAAGATAAAACCATTGAATGCTAAAAGAATTTACTTTGTCAATATACAAGGAATAATTGAATACATAATTCAATTTTGGATATAAATGCTTAGTTAAAAGTCGATCTTTAAATGAAACTAACCTGTAAGATAATCTTCAATGTCCAGGCCAAATTCAGAAGCATCCACTGCACGTAACTCAAAATTAGCATTTCATAGAGTGCCATATCACCATTTATGATGAACATTAAGGCACCTCAGCGGTATGCATCAATAAAATGGGAAATTAAAATACTGCAAAATAACTAACTAGGCTATACAAGAAGTAATGAGAGACAGGTTATGAGATGCAAAAATCACTGCAACTCAATAGAGTTTAATAAAAACTTGAATCTAATAACGTTAATGATTTGATTCAAAAAACAAAATATCCAACCACTTTGCTTCATGTGGCTAGAGTCATTTCATTAAAAAAAATCTATTAATAGCATGAATAGTAAGCCATCCAGAGACCAACCAACTAGGTTTGGTGAAAAGAATTGAAATGAGCTGAGATTGAAGACTAAGGTTTGTCCAGCTCAATTAATTACCTATTGCACCAAATTTAAATTGAGTTCAGCTCATCAAAGTTGGGGAAATCTAAATCCTCCTCAGCTTGAAGCATAGAATCATTAAATGACATCAAATTTAATGTATAAGTTGAATGTAACTATTAGTCTACATTATTTTGATTGGCCAAATACAACAGATAAAAGTGAACATTTTATGACTTCTTCCACAAACTTGAATCTCTTCATTTTATAATGTGAATTTATATATTTGTATAAATAAACATAATTTGCGGCACGCACATACGCGTGCGCACACATACATGTGTGTGTATATTCATAAGAGGTACCCCTTCTATTTTGCGAGAATACTAAAAACTTATTCAACTTTTTCAAGCTAATGCAACATGCAGGCCCAAACCAAAACCCAAGTTCTGCCAAAAACAATATCACAACACTCATTAAATTTATGTAGATTAGAATGGAATTATTCTTTTAAGGATAATATATTTTTATCTAAATTAGATGATCGAATAATAGATTTATCTTAAATTAAGATAAATCTATAATTTAATTTGAATTTGAATTTAAACCCTGCTTCTATAAATTGGAGGTGAGTATTACTTGCAATATTTATCAATTAAATTAAATAAACATTGGTGCGCCATAGGAACCCAAATCAAGGACACTACAATTTAGATGGAACCAATCTATTTCATGAAATTCAATTGTATTTTATTAATTAATTTATTTTAAAATTTATTGATTATTTTCTTTTATGTAGGTTGAATATCAATTAAATTAAATAAACATTGGTGCGCCATAGGAACCCAAATCAAGGACACTACAATTTAGATGGAACCAATCTATTTCATGAAATTCAATTGAATTTTATTAATTAATTTATTTTAAAATTTATTGATTATTTTCTTTTATGTAGGTTGAATAAAACCTTTTGGATAACCTTAGATTTGATTTTAAATTATCTAGTAGGTAGGAATGGAGTCAATCTAGATAGGATTACCCATGCATATATAATGTGGTCCCTAACAAACTACAAATTGTCTATTTACTTCGCCAAGTTGTATGGCCTACACCAACTTCGAGAAGCAATTTGTCAATACAAGAATGAATCCATGAACCTTATAGATGGAGGGTCAAGAAGATCAACAATATCCATACTCTAGCTCTTAAAGAGCCATAATCCGCTATTATATTGAACGAACTCAAAAGTTAGTGAAAGATTGATTCATGCATCTAGAACAAGTGGCCTTTTTTAGCATGCCCAATGTAATGCCAAACTATAGGAGACCAACAATATCTACAAAGTCTTGCATGAACTTCACCAATGACCTTGTAGGCCTCCTTTCCACGGCAATGCAAACATATTTGATTAGATAAACCAATACAAAGTGGTGTTAACATATGCAAATCACAAAAAACTTGAACAATAAGAAAAGGATCATCAATACTTTTCCCCTAGTGAAGATTCTCAAAAAGAGGTTTCTCCAATCGAACTCATCCCCAATCACTAACACTGATAAAGATAAAATTTAAAGTTTGACAACCGATAAGGACTAGAATCTAATGATAATAAGCAATTAACATTCATAGGATCTCCATTACTATCAACCATCTCCTTACTAGGTTTAGCGAGTGCATCCAATTTGTCATTGCAATGAAGGGGTGTTCTAGCAAAGTTATATTGGGAATAGTTTGCAATAGCTCTATAACTCATTGATGTTACATAAGGAGTTCAAACTCGAGGACCCAAAACATCCCAACAACCTAATTGATGATGACTTGTGAATCTAGCAAGATCCTAATTGACACTCACATAGATGGCAAGAACTAAGCTAATAAACAAAACTTCATACACCATTTCATTAATTATGTGTGGTTTTGAGACATTAATTATGTGTGGTTTTGAGACACAATAAGAATAAAGAAGGATGACATACTTGAGAAAAAAAAAACAATGCCTACTTTCACTCTAGAAAGTTGGTGGGGAATTAGTACCCTCATTAAAGTCACCCCCATCAAAATAAAAACTCCTAAGAAGGGAACTCTTTTCTTGGGCCTCTATACTTAAGACTTGCTCGGTAGGTGGATCATCACAATGTAGATAATCCATATAAATCAAATCAGCTGCTATGAGATCAGTTAAAGCTTGTCCATTGATGAATCAATGGGGAACAAGAGTAATCTTGAACAACAAGAGGACCAATGCATTAAATGTCTTGATAATATTGGTTGGAGAATAAGATATCTAAGTGGAAATACTCTGAAAATAAATGCTAATCATATGCAAATGAATAGTACAAGTTTTGCATGATAAAAAAAATCAACACAAGACAATACTTATTGATGGTTATTTATTTTAACCCTATCACAATAACAAATTAGTTAAGATAGTATAAAATATAATATTTCCCTTCATTAACCAAAGTTGATAGAGCTCCAAGGGATTCATCCTAAACAATTATATTAAATGTCAAGCTTGTTTGAGATCAAGTAGAAAGCTTGGGAGGTTGAATCATGTAGCATTTAATGCCTTAAAATGCATTTTGGCAGCTTTTATCCCACTTTAAGCATGTGATATTTGCAAGTACGGTTATGGATTGACATTTTTAGACATGTTTGAAATGAAATGTGACAAAAGGCAAGCTTTCCTTGAAAGTATATCAATTGAGCAAGACTCTTTTTTGCTTGCATATCCAAGATGGCACTAATCTTCGAGGGGCTAATCTTAATATCTTGAAAGCAAAAAATATGACCCAAGACTTTTGCTAAAGTCACACTTCAAAATATTCATCTTGAGTTCATACCGATGCATACACTCATTAAACACCATAAATCATGAAGGTGGTCATCTCATACCCGACTTTTAACCACCAAGTCATATATGTAACACTCATCCTCTTGATGGATGAGGTTGTTAAAGATGAGCCATAGTCCTCTAATAGTTAGCTTTGGCACTCTTAAAGCAAAGTGGCACCACCTTCTAGCAATAAAAGAAGACAAGGGTGCAAAAAAGAAGTAAATTGCACATATTTAGGAATTAACTTAATTTGATTATATCCAAATGGCCCATCCAGGAAGAAAAATATGCTATGAGATGAAGCAATATCAACCATCAGCTCCAAAATAAGCAAAAGAGAATTCATCCTCTAGGTAAGACTAATTCAAATCTCGTAAGTTGATGTACACTTGTATATGCATACTTTCAAACCAAAACAACATTGCTAGCCAAGTCTGGCATTTCTCCTTCAAAATAAGACCAACTTCAATTAACTTCTTAATTTCGACGATCACTTATTCATCAATTTCTAAACCTCATTTGACAATGAGATTATTTAATAAAAATTATTTTTGATTTGATGGCAAGCCTATGAACTTCTATCTTTGAAGCAAGACCTAATTTCACTACAGAACTCCATACAAAGCAGTTACAATGCTCAAACAAGTGCTCCACCAACTCATGGGTATCGGGATCAAAAAGTAAGGTATTGATATAAGTATGTCAATGATCTACTTGAGGCCTAAATTGACTTTGTGAACTTCATTGATGGTGGATTAGCAAACCTCTTCATATTCTTTGAGGACCTATTGGATGCTCAGATCACCATCATTTGGGTTTTCACACTCATTCAAAGGTGACAATCATAGGTAAGCTCATCATAACGAGATAAGTAGCAACATATGAGAAGCATCAACAACATACCCTAAGCCTTTCCCTCCCTTGAAAATTGCAACTTGCATTAGTCAAAAATCAAAAGATACAAAAAATAAAACTATATGTGTATGGCTATATCACAATCTTTCTTCAACAAAATCAAAAAAAAGGGAAGGTCTTCATTGTTATAATGCTTCTACACAAAATTATAATTTAGAGCTAGGTTTGCACAAAAACTGACAACTTTGTTGCCATCCATATGGATATAGTGGAATATAACCTGATGGAATTGGTGGAAGAATGCAATGTCATAGTTTGCCAAAGAAAGGTTGTTATTTTGGCAGCTCTTCAAGGCACTTTGGAATAGACTTCCGAAGCTTGTACTGTCCCCCTCAATGATCACTCCATTGGCCTCAAACATCCATGGCTCGATAATGTGTTTGATGGATAAGATGGCCTCAATTTCCACCTACAAGCTATCCCAGTACTAAAATTGAGTGCCAACAGCTTTTATGAATTCCCCTTTATCGTTTCAGATGATAGCCCCGATGTCGACCTTATAAAAAGGCAATAATGCCCCCATCGGCATTGATTTTTGGCCAACCCAGAGGAATGGCACACCAACAATAGCAGCAATGCAACTAAGAAGACTTATTAGCACCCCATTGCTCCTGAACTAGGTGACCATGAGACTGAGAGAGAGAGATCTGAGAGTTGCAGCAGCTAACATAATAGGCAACCCATATTATTGGCCATGCTTCTTAGAGTTTTGAGAGCTAATAGTTGGTGTTGCAGTGGAGGCGAGTCCAGGTGGAATTTTGGTTGGTGGATGAGGTGAGCTACTGTCTAAGGCTGCAAAAATTGTCAAAGGATGGTAATAGTAAAACCCATGCCCTCCCTGGGGTTGTTAGTACGCCATAGTATATGGCACAAACAAACCAACATGGATGACAAAGAGTTTGGC